TGCATTATTTAGCTACATGAACGCTTATGCAGCCTACCAAAATACGCATGTGCACATAACGCCTTTGTTTTTTTTTTTATTTATGTAGAGGTGTACGACCTTCACAATTAAGCCAGAGTGACTTTTGAGTTTTGTTGGGGAAAAATAAGAAATAAGAAATAAGAAATAAATGGTCAAAAATGACATGTGATGTGACAGAAACAAATTGCAATCTATAAGTAAATACATATGTATGTACATATGTGGTCTTATTTTTGCTTATTAATGATTTGTTTTTTAATATGGAAGTTCACTACTTAATCTTAGTATTGTTAAAAACAAAATTGCAATTGGTAGCATACACCTTTAGTACCATTTCACACGATCCGCTGGATGGTTTTTTTGTAAGCATTTTGCACGAATACACTCGTATATTTTCCTGTGTTTGCTGAGGTCCGATAACTGTTTGAATATTGCTCAGATCAGGCATGAAATTTCTATTATATCACGTGGTACTTAGTATACTGATTTCAAAAGAAAGACGTAGTTTTGATGTCAAGAGAAGTCAATCTACCGAAATGTTCCAAATTGAGTTCGGTTGAGAAATTCTGGGCTCGCGCCAAAAGAGACATGAAGATTACAAAAAAGGTGGGAAAACGCTAAAAAGGCTAATGAATGCGTTACCAAAACAGTAACACTTTTTTTATTGAAAAATAGTAGTTTTTGTTATTTCAGAATTTTCTTGTTAATTCTAAGATTATAATGGCATAGTTTTTGAAAATCTCCTAACTGCTTTAAATAATTCCATAATCTTTTAGCGCATAATTTCATTCGACGCAGCCGATTCTCGACTTGTGGCAAGGAAGAAGATTAGCGAATATATTTAAAATTTGCTATCCAACAAGATGAATTGTACAGCTGTTTTTTTTTACTGCCGTATTAGTTTATTATTAGTTCAGTGGAAAAATTATAGGATAAATATGGTAAAACGATTTCCAAACAACACCACTCTGTTACGGTGAAAATGGACAAATCTGTACAAATGTACACATCGTGTGATCCCTGCTTTAGAATTGATCGCGAATAGAGAAAGGGGAAATCAAAAGGCGACAATTTTCGTTAGAAATAAAGACACCGTAAGTGTTTTGCTGTTTTTTACCTCAAGGTTTTTTTTTCACATTCTAACCGCATAGCAAACGTAATCTATTGAAGAATTATGTATATATATGGGGTGTTCCGTACCAAAAACCGGACGGGATGCACACTTCATGTGTTTGATTTGTTTAAAATTTTTAGGGTTGATGTATAAACATAAATAATAAATAAATATTAAATTTGAGCTTGATTAATACGATTTTAAAAGCTTTACAGCACAAAAACAAAAACAAATCGATTTCCAAATATCTCGAGAACGGGGCGAGGAAAAATTAAAAAAAAAATCGCACATACACACACCAAAATTCTCTATGAAAAAAAATATTGAAAAAAATTTGTTTTCTTGAAAACTTTTTCACATACACATTTTTTTGATTAAAAAAAAATTAGTTTTCGAAAATATGCCAACTCAAAAAAAAATTAAAAAAAATCACAATGGTAGCTCTGGTAACAATGGTATCATGGGGTGTACTCTACAATAACTTGAGTTATAAATTTTTTTTTTACACCAAAGTGGGATAAAATGAGTTATGCATTTTTTTTACACCAAAGTTGGGTAAAATTTAAACATTTTTTTATTTAGAATTTTTTTGAGTACGCAGTTTCGTAGCCCATTAAATTTTAGTATAACAAAGATAGATAGATAAAATCGCTAAACAAATGAAAGTAAATGGGTGTTTAACAAAACTTGTTTTTTCCTAGAAACTTAATTGTTTCGCACATCAAGTGAGTATACACAAATTTGCACAATTTGTCTGTTCAAGCAGCCATTTCATGTGGCTACCCTCTCAACTACGTTGAAATATTTCATTTGCTTTATAATAAATTTAAATTGTCGCAATTTGTGTAACTTAAATTTAATCTTCCTTCAACTTGCACCTACATATGTACAACCCACAACTTTCTGTCATTGCTCATAAAAAGCAAGCAACATCGCCCGCGGCGCCAATACCTTCGTACCGTTCCGCTTCAATCGCGCTGCAAGATGCAGCAACTGTGCTGTTAAAAAATTTATTTACTGTTTGCATTACCTACACAAATAGCCGTTACTACTAGTCTGTCTGAGCGCTTCATGAAAAATATATGAATGCAAAAGTACACAATTTTATGGCAAGATTCCCATGGCTTTATTATTATTTCAGTGCAAAACTTGCAGCTGTGCAACAAAAAAAATAAAAAATAAAACATCAAATAAAATAAAACAAA